CTTTTCCAACCTTAATGATTCTGTGAATACCCGCCACCCTATTTAGTTTAGGTAGGTCTTCTGAAAATTCCAGCCTTGACAACCAGCATCTTTCATCCTACATATACAGGCCTTTTATCACTTAATTCAGACTGATTTTTGTTTTGTTTTAATTTGCAGGCTGTCAGAGTGCTCAAAAGTAGTCGTACTTTGACTATCTCTGTGGTAGCAGGCGCTGTAAGTAGTGTATTTATAAAAGCAGAACACTTGTGAAAATTACTGTGTGGGCAAATAAATGGTAAAAATAAATAGATAAGCAGTAAAGCTGTTTCATTATAAACACAAAATTCTTTCAAACTAGGACAGTGTTTAGTGGATTTTGATTACTTCATTGCTAACTATCCACAGTATTCTCAAATAAAACAGTTTCAAGACTGTAGGCCAGTGCAAAACCATTAGCTTGACAAGGAATGGAAATTAACTTTCTCATAATGGTTTCTCATGTTTGAGAGCTGCTGTTCTAATAGACAGCTGCTTCTGCTGAAACATAAAAGGTGAATTGGGTTGGAGTCAATTTTTCCTTGTGAATAGCTGATGCATTAGTCGTATTCCAGATTAATTCCTTGTGCAACTGTTTATCTGATCTCTTTAGTGTATCAACACATTGAAAATTGTTCAATTTTCCTTTGCCATTGTTTTGTACAACAGAACTATATATGCCTTTGAGGCCTAATCTAAAGCCAGCTAAAATTAATTAAATCTTCCAACTGACATCAGTGTGGCTTTCCATAAATGTTTTAATGTTTTTACTGCTTTAATTCTTCTTACAATAAAATGAATAGTTATATACCAGAGGATACTCAAGTTCCATAGACTAATCAAAGATGATGCTTTCTAATTGCCTTGCAACTGAATTAAATAGGGGAAAAAAATTAATAAATCTTTTAAGCCACTTCCTAAGGGCTTGTGTATACTGTGTAGCTATGTTAAGGAATTCATGGTTTAATTGAACTACTCTTACAGTAACAAAAGATGTTGCCCAAAGGCATCATAGACAATGTTTAAACAAATGCTCAGGAGCTCAACATCTTAAGGACTTAGTTTCAACTCCCAGATATGTTACCAGCTGCTAGAAAAGTTGTGATCTACTGCAGCATGTACCACTGGGATTGCATCCTTAAAAGGGTGAATTTTTGCTATGGAACTCTTCTGCTCCACCCTACTTTACCTTGCATGTCTCTCCTTTCCCCAATAAACATCTTTGTATTGAAGAAGAGGTTGGAAAAGGAAAACAGCTTCTCTACTCCTGTTTTTCAGTCAGCAAACACGGTGGTACAAAGGCATTCTTCACTGCCTGTTTTTGTTTGAGCTGTCTACTTTGAGACTTAGCCACATGAAAAATTCTCCCTTACTAATTAATATGGGATTTTAATTTCAGTAATGAAAATTAGATAAATGTTATCAACTTGTTCCACATAGCACCATGGAAATATCTTTCTTGAATAGAAAATAGTGCTGGTGTCTTAACTGTAAAGCAAGTGAAACAGGAACAAAACCAACTGAAACACATCAACTATATAACCTTCTGGCAATGTACATTCCCTGTATTTGGGTTCCCTGAGTGATGGCACATTTCTACAGCAGCCAGGCACAAGAGTATTAAAACGCAGTAACTGTGTAGTTGTCTTCCACATTGGAATTCATTCAGTGTGCTGTTCTCTAGCATTGCATTGCTCAGTTAGATTTCAAGAAAGTATAATGTGGAGTATTTTCTGGGCAACACGCTGAGCACGTCTTTGGTATGACCCCCTACACTGTTGTCACTGACTTTAGTAGTTGCATGCCTCTTCTGAGGTGTTTAGCACATCATAACTTTGAGACTGAAACTGGAGTAGCTCTTTGGAATGAAGTGGCCTGATCTTTCAGGGTGTTTCAGAAAGCATTCCTCAGAAAAAGTAATGTGAGAATATGGCAAGTGTGCTAGTACATATTTGGTTTTTAATTATGTCCTAGAACTACTACATTCATGAGACTTTTTTGCAACTGATTTGGGTGGCGGTTCTGATTGCAGGGAAAGGAGCTGTTCATGACTGAAGAAGAAAGGCAGAAAGAAGCACGTCTCCGTGAGCAAGAACGGCAGGAGTTAATGCACCAGAAGCGACTTGCGCTGGAGACTAACAAAATCATCAAAGAGCAGCAAGAGAAAGAGCGATTGTAAGGACTCTGTGTAGGACAGTCTGAAAAATTTAGCTTGCATTTGAAAGGGCATGGAAGGCGGGAGCAACTGTGAGAAGATTCCCGACTTAGATTAACTTAATTTTGCTGTTGCAGCATCTCTGTTCATAAATCCTTATCCTGTGGTTCTCTTGATGTTCTGGGTTTTCGAAGCTAATGTCATTCAAACACATCTTGAATAGAAGGGTCACTTTGTTCCCTGACTGTCATACCCCTATGATTCCGTGTGATCCTAGTTAGTTTCCTGATGCCATTCTCCCATCCTTTATTTTTAGCAGGATAGTTACAAATTTTAAACTCTTACAATAACACACTATGGAACTGTCTCGGAGATAGTGACTTACAGAGTTAAATAGATGACAAGCTGTTGTTATTGAGATGGTCATGAATGTCTTCAGGGTTCCTACAAAAATATATTGAACCCTTGGTATCTTGAAGACAACTTTTAAAAAGGAGCATTTTTCTCCAGTGCTCGTGTATTTACTGTCTGTATCTTTTACTAATTATATGCTGACACACTTGGTGCAAGTTCTTACTCGGAAAATACTATTCTTATCATTGTGTGCCAATTCCTCTTATTGTAGAAGAAAGCTGGAGATTTCCCAGAAGGCTGCAGAGGAGGAAGAGAGATATCGCAGAGAAATAGAGCAGTAAGTAAAAAAACTACATAAGCAATATGCTGCCTGAACAAGGGCCTGTATATAGTAGATCTGGCTGAAAACATTCTGCATATTCTTTTCTAATAAAATTGGATGTATTTCCATTTAGCTAAACGTAGCGTCCAATGCATATGAGCAAGTACACCACAGTTACAGAATAGGAAACTGATCTGAAAATCAGCACCTGGAAAATATGAGGGTTATGGTGATAGTAAAATCAATGTCAAATTGAAGTTGTGTGCTTATTTTAAAAATGTTATAAAAAAATAGAGAAACTTAAGATTAAGGGAGTTCTGTGTCTCAGAACTTGCTTACTCTGTTGTGACTGAACGACTACATTTCATGCTAACAGGAAAAAAAATGAATACTGCAAGGAAAGGGATTAGGGAAGAAACAGAGAAGAATGACTAAAGAGTTGGAACCACATGCATATACTCGTGGGCTTGATGACATATACACTTAGCTTATATTTAAAAAAAACAAAACAAAAACCAGGTAGTTTGTTCATGATCTCTAAGAGTGTACACAGCATGAAATTTAATATCCTTTTCAGTCTATCAGTTCTGAAGACAAAAGCTATGTAGGTTTAGACTAAAATGTGATGCTAATTGTCTTGAGTAGAAATTTCAGTCATAAATTTTAAGTAGGCTTTTCCTTTTTCTAAGGAGAGAATTTAATTAAAACTGTGGCACTGAAAGCAGGAAGTTCTATAAACTATTTTATTCAGGAAGTCTGATTTTTATTATAGTCTGTTCTGGTTTTAAAAATCTGTGATTATGGGAAGTAGACCCATTCAAAGATTGTATCATACTAAGGTCAGTAGTATAAATGTAACTTAAGCATTGTTTTACATTTGGAACTTTAATCAGTATAACATGTTGTTATCACAGTAATTAATTTCCCTTCTGAATTACGAAAATTAAAAATTACTAGGTGAGGTATGGTTTTGGTTTCAGTTAGGGTGACAGTCAGTATTGTAGTGTATCACTCTGGGCTTAATATCTGTGCAGGTGTTTACGTAACTAGCCTTAAAAAATCTCAGTATTAAATAAGAATATTTTACTCAGTTTCATTTACTAAGCTACTAAAATAATTTGTAAAATATAATGTAAGTCAGATTGATGAAAGGAATTCCATTTGGGGAAGGGGCAGTTTATTATGCTTTATATTAAAGAGTAAAAACAAACATACTGAACAATAAATAATTGTAATGAACTTATATTGATGCTGTTGTTTTTATACTCAGAATTCTTAGTTGTATTTTTTTTCTTTTCTATAGGATAACAGCAGAGGAAGAGAAATTTAAAAAGGAGTGGGAAGAAGACTGGGGTCCTAAGGAACCTCCCAAATCTCTAAAAACTGTAACTGCAGAAGTGCACTCTGCCCCTCATTCTAAACACAAAAGTAAGTAGTTGATTTCAATCTACTTCCTAGGGAAAGTATTTGTTTCAAACACATCACTGAGCTGTATGGAATGTATCACCAGTTTGTGTCCAAGCCAAGCTAGCTATGACTTGGTTATTTTCAGAAAGCTGAAAGCATATGATAAATTAATTTAATAGCTCTTATTTAACAGGTAACTAGCTCGCAAAATCTACGTCTACTCAAACAGTCATGGTTTTTAACAATCAGCAGCAGGAAAAAGAAAAAAAAATTGCTAAGAAATTGTCTGAAGTCACAATCTCTTTAGCTTGGGTTTTGATGCATTGCTTTCTGTGTTGTTTCTGTTCAGGGTTTTGCGGTCAAGCTTCTCGCAGAGTGTTTTTTTCATCAATAGACTTGTGCTGATTTCCACTATATGCCTAAATGGAAGTAGTGCTGGGCTTTTTATATGATATGTGATTATGCTTTTATGTCCATGCGGATAAGCTGATATTCAGATGCTAGATTATATACATGTGAGTGCTTTCATCTCAGTGAAGAAAATACCACTTACAGTAATAAGCAATATTTTAGGTTTTGTGGGCATTTTGTTACTTTTGAAAATGAATGTATGAAGAAAGGGAGACAAGTTTATTTTTCTTCTTTCATTTGGAATTAGCTTTGAGTTTCCTGCATTAATCCTATCAGCAAATAGTTTCACATCATTTCTATATTTGAGAAGGGAGCTTGGGAGATGGGGTGTTTGAAGGTAGAAAACTAGTACTAGATTTGCAGTCTCATTTGGAGGGAATGAATACACTTTGTACTATTCTGATTGTAACCTTGCTTCTTTTCTTACTCTAAGTCAGTGTGGAGGTTAGGGGTTTGAGCATTTTTCTGCTGGCTTCTAACTGGAAAAGGTAGATACGGAATGTGTGCTTTTGGCTTGGAGGAAAGGAATTCAATGTGTGATTTTCAGAAAAATCTAAATAGCAGGACCTCAGTCCTTTCTTACTTTGGCAGTCTTTGGGGGCTGGAGGAATGTCTTGAAGCTCCATTGCTTCTCTTCCATGAGGAAGAGTAAACAACTTAATTGAGTAAACAACTTAAGGTATTGAATGTGATCAAAAAATGCAACAGAAGCCTTTGTTGCAAAGGAACAGTAAGACACTAGACAAAAAAGAAAAAAAGATTCTTAAGAATCAGCAGCTTTTTTCAAGTGTTTTTCCTAGAACTTTTGACAAATCTGTTTCTTCCCAGCATGCCTTTTACCACATCATTTTTCTACATATCGCTTTCTTCAGTTTATGCTGTTTCGACAACTATCTTGAAAATGAAATGTTGATGGCATAATGATGTTTACAACCATTGCAAAAATAATCTTGCATGCTAAGACCTTGGATAGCAAAGCATGTAAGCATGTACTGATTAAAAGCATGCAATCAGAACTTCTGAATCAATTCCTAGTGACCTAAGTGCAAGAAAGCTAGGCACATTTCAAAGAATTTGCAAAATTCAGGCATCTGTCCATGAGGCACTGTGTGTAGTAGTAGATCTGTTGAGATATTAAAAAGACAATCTGTCAGAGTAGAAAAAAAAAAATCCTGCTTTTTCAGGTGGATTATCTGCAGAATTCGAAAACTTTTTCCTTTTTTTTTCTATTCCCCTCCTACTATCATTTCCTTTCTGAATCTGTTTCTTTTTCCTCCCTTGTTCTTCTTTTTCCTGTCTTTTTCCTCTTTTGATCCATTGCAGCAAATCTTTCACAAACAGGCTGTAGTCTGAACAGCCTGAAAATTGATTTGTTATCGCTGGGCAGTCTGCTTCAGAATTAGTCAAGAGACTGAGGAGGTACTGTTTGTACACTGCAACTTTTCCCTGAAGAATTGCCCTGAAGTGTAAGTCTGACTGACTTGTCCTCCAAAGGAATTCAAGATGCTTGGAGCTTAATTGGCAGTTATGAAGCTCAGTTTAGAGCTATAGATAGTATGTGGAGAGTGTACTAAAATCGTATTAGACAAAGGAAAAAGTAGAAAGTGCTTGTGGAGCAGGTATTGCATAACTTAAGGGAGACCTGGGTCTGTTCCTAACCTAATGATGCTATTTTTTGTGTGACTTTGGGGAAGTCAGTTAACTTTTCATGGATGAGAAACTGAGATGGAGAAATGTTTTTTCTGCAACCATCTTTTATCCATTTAGTTTTCTGATTCTTCAGGGCGGTGTTTTCTCTGTATAGCATTTATCCCAGTGACAGTGCAGTGGAAGGCTAATACTGCTTTTTGAAGCCAGATATCCCAGAACTGCTGATGGTTTAATTACAGGAAAAGCCACCTACCTCTGCAGGCTTCTCTTGATAGCAGAGCGGACTAATTGGCCAACTGCTTTTCAGGGTTGAAGGAGGTTGGAAATTAAGTTGATTTAAGTAGAAGCTCTTTTTTTTTTTTCTTTGTTTTAATTATGTGGAAAAATATCCGGTTGCTAACTTCTTTTTATTTCATGGAAACTTCTAGTCACACATTGCTGATCTCTCTTTCATTTCATGGGAACCCCAGTTAGACTGTCATTTCTATCTCCTCACTCTTTTCCTCCTCTGTTTCTCTAGTAGATTTAAAGGGAGTTGCACATGACCAACCTGAAACAGATGACATGGATGAAATGTTCATGAAGCAGGACAAACAGGTTTGCTGCTCAGCCTTAACTTCCTATCCTGGTTCAGATTCTTCCTGTGTTTCCCTTCCTCCTGACAGTCAGTCTTGACACTGAACTGATCTTTTAGTTTTGCTAGGGCAATATGCACAGTCCTTTGGTAATTGAAGAAAGGTTATGACACTGTTGCTGTCATTGCTTTCTAAAGATATCTTGAGACAAATACAAAATCTGTCAATCCTGCAGAAAGGTGGATTGTATTGAGAGCTCTGTGTGTTATCAGTGTTTCTTATATAAAATTATGGTAACTATTCTTTTGTTGTTTTTACTTAGCAATGTGTTTTTTAATATTTATGCACTTGGCTCAAAGTATTTTATCGTAGGAAATGGAGCTTTTCTTGTCTCCTGAAATGCCACTGTGTTCCGCCACAAGCTTGAATGAGTTTGAATACCTGTTTCATTTTAAGAAGGCTTGTTAAAAACTAGTGTAAAGTAGGATTGTGACCACAGAAATCGTAGCAATGCATGTGGCTGTATGGTTCTGTATGAAGATTACTTGTTGCATTTGCTTTGCTTAACATAAAATGCGTGTCGGTTAAATAAGGGTAACTTGTGACTAAATGTACTACCACAATGGATCAAGAAGTCATCTAAGAACTTGTCATGTAATTGAACCTTCGGTGTTGGCGCCTTCAAATAAATTTTAATCAGTTACATGTATCAGCATGGATTGATCTGAATCTGAACCAGTCCTAGACTTTTCTTCAAAAAACAACTTTTCGTTTACCTTTTTGTAGCTTTTGGATGGTTTTATCGGTATGAAGGAAAATTTCCCACAATCCGCAAGGTACAAAGTTTGATACGTGAATTTGTTTGTTGTGCACTTCAATTTTAATTCCTTTTTTTAAATTCTTCTCTGTTATTACTAGACATTCTTTATAGTCAAATGCTGCTTTTTCTAATGCATGTACAAATTAAGATGCGTTTGGGATGCATCTGCCTAGGAGTTTGTCCTTTTGCATACTTTGGACTTTTCACATCCTGCCAGCTGCAGTCTGAAGTGTATGTCAATACTTTGCAGGAGGTGTCCAGTACAGGTGGGCAGTGCATGTCTATGTTCTCCAAAAGTCCTAAGAATAATGTAATAAAAAAAGTACAGGGACAAAAATTCAATGGGAACCAAGTATGCAGTTCCCACTTAAACCTTTGCAAATCTTCCAGTGAGAGGGGTGCTGAAGGCAAAAGGCTTTTAGGCATGTACATCACACAGAAGGAGCAAAAACAATTGAAAGCCTTTCAGCTTGATACAATATTTTTATATCTGTAGAGTTGCTGCTAAAGTATTACAATTTCAGATGATT